TCAGGCAGTTATTGATCTCCCAACACCTCTCCGGTCCGGTTGACGCTAAGGCACCATGAAGGGTCAGTCAACATTTCCCTAAAAGCGTAGTCTTCACCTGCAGTCTTGCAGTAATAATAACGTTTTATTTACCCAGGATAGCCACTTCAGTTATGAAACCGTTCTTCCAGCGGGCCCTGCATAACATAATATGTTATTACTACCCTTCTCCAATCTAATATGCTGAGCGCCTAGCTAGAAGGCAGAAGGTCCCATTGTTATAAGTCTTTGGTATGACTCGGCCGAGGTTCGAACCCACGACCTGCCGTTCATGAGGCGGGCGCTCTAACGACTGAGCCACCATGCCCGGTTGATTTGCAGTTGAAAGACAACATCTTTCTCGACAGAAAAGTCGACAGCATATCTATGACAAACATAATCCTGCGTAAGACTATAAATCAAAATAACCATTTTGAACATGTTAATTGTTGTTCTCTCTTTATTTTTAAACAGTCCTTCAAAATGTATTTGTTTTTAAAACATAACAGCTTGATAGCCCCTCCCCCCCCCCCCCCCACAGTAATATGGTAATGAAAAACATTTCATTTTAATAATCCGCATTCTCCATTTAACCCTATATTGCCTGGGGGTGGGGGGGGGGGGTTCAGATATAGGGTTAAAGGGAGATGGTCTTCATTTTCCAAGTGCAGAAGATCATAATTCGCGGACACCAGACTTGATATAAAAAACATTAATGGGTGAACAAGTCTTGCACAGCAGCAAACTCATGGTCCCATCAAGAAATATACCCCTAGTCTCTCAGAGAGCCATCAGGTGATAGAAATGTAAGATAATGTCTTGACAATATGGGGGGGGGGGGGTGTGGGTGAAAAATGCAGAGCATTATATAAAACTGAAGGCTAATCCTGGTGATTGACAACACCTATTATTGGGCAAACACCTGAATGGTGTCAAATTCCCCATGAGAGCCTACTTCTATGGTCTTTAATATCATCTTCTTCCTCAAAATTTAACCCACTCTCTACGGGAACAGGGTGGTGTCTGTATTAAAGCCTATGGAAATGAGAGAATCCAGTACACAGTGAGCAAAAAATTGCTAAAATACACAACATTCACAGCTTTGTCGTTGTTTTCTATGTACTTACTGTACATGTGTTATAAACAACAGATGCCAAGGAAATTGCCATTTTAAACAAATATAAATCAGCGACTAGCTCCTCTGTCATTTTCTTTGCCATAAATAAAAGCTAGAGCAATAAAATAGCAAGAAAACAGCAAAAAAATGCAGAGAATATAGCAGGTGGCTAAAATAATTAAATCCTGACTTTAGCTGAAACTTGGTAGTCAACGAGCTCGATGATTTTATTTATGATTAATAAAAACTCTTGTGTAAATAGCTCATCGCATCTATAATGGGTAAAACTTTATTCTTTCGGGGTGGGGGGAGGGGGAGGGGGATCAAAGATGCTCAATTTCAAGTACCGGTAGACTAGAGAGAAACTATATATTTGTTTGAATCAATGGACAAGGAACAGGTCTGGAGGCATATACTTTAATTTGGGAGAATTTATAGCTAAAAGGGCAGTAACAGACACATATGCTGTAACACAGAAAAGGGTTAATGACCTTCTGGCTTTCATTGGACGATACCTCTAGAGAAAAAAAACATTGATTATTACTATCAAATTTGCAGAAGCTAAGTTTATATTCGTCTCAATCAACTGACCATTGACTTCTTAGGATGTCTGGGGGCATAGACAATGCTGCACAAAGTGAATTTACGCTGGGAGGAATTGCATACATGGACAAAACAAAATCAATGATCTATACTACTATCAAATTGCTAGAAGTTGAGTGCTTTTTTTCGCTGTGTGTGAATGAACTGAATTGGGACTTGCTCTAATGTCTAGGGGGCACAGATACCAACACTGTACAAACAAATTTAACAAATTGTGAAGGCTTGCAAGAATGTTATATCAACGGGGACGGATGGGAACAAAAACTGTATGCCTAACCTGATACAAACATCATCAAATCAATATGTGACGAGAGTCAATTATCAGTCCACTTTTCTCAATGACCAAATGATGACTGGCAATGGAGCAGATAGTGCACAGTCAAGACAGATGAATGGCAACAATCATCTAAAGTGCATTTCCGATTTTCCATGCTTTATTTTAGTCTCCCCAAACCCAACCTCACCTCTCTCCCTCTCCCTCTCCATCTCACTCCTCCCTCTCTCTCCCCCTCTCTCTGTCTCTCCCTCCCTCCCCCTCTCTCTCTCTCTCCCTAGCTCTCTCTCTCTCTCTGTGTCTTGTCTCCTTTTATCATCCTTGTTAATTCTTTCTGCTTCTCGTTCTCCTCATTAGTTGTCAGCTAATCTATCTTTCTTTCTCTTGACATCTTTACACCCCCCCCCCCCTCCCTTCGCTCTCTCTCTCACAAACCACTTTTTTGTTCCTTATTTAGATCTTATTAGATACCGATATCTGTTTGCTTGTCTATCTCTCTCCCTTTCAGCATGTACATGTACTCCACTCCTTGACCCCCCTCCCCCTCCTTGACCCCCCTCCCCCTCCTTGACCCCCTCCCCCTCCTTTTCCTTCTCCCTCCTTTTTCCTCCCTGTCTCTCTTTCTCTTTCTCTTATGCTTGTTCTCTTTGTGTTACTTTACAAGTTTAACAAGCACCTTCATGAGAAGACAAGTGAAATTAAGGATCTTTATCTTTCCGTTTTCATATCATGTATCAATGGGAGTGACATACAGACAGACACATATTACTCATGTATTCAGACTCAAACCTGCCAACAGAGGGCAGTAATCCTTTAGGTTTCACAGGCAGACTAAAATGAATGATTTTTGGCTAAAAACTCTCATTGGATATGATTGCAGTGTCCTAAAGTTACATGTATGATCAACTTCCAAAACTATAACAGATGAAATCATGATGATTCACTCTTTCATTTTACTTTTCTTTCTTCAGATCTATCCTCCATTTCTATACAAAAGTAGATTTCAGTAAATACTTTCATAGCTGAAAATGAGTACATTGCTGATGTAAGCAGTAGTTTTAGCATTAAAGAAGGTGCAATCAGTAGCTATCAACTCATTTTTACCTTAACATCTGGGCTGTTAAAATCTGCCTTTTGTATGTTTGATATCATTCTTTGATATTTTTTCTTCTGTATGATATACGACCGGTACTAATTAGTAGCTTGGCAAAATATAAGATGAATATTTCTTGCCCTCAAGAAATAGAATGATTTATAAATAAGAAATACAGCATTGTCTCCATTTCTGTTTAAAGGCCAGTTACCTAGAAGCAGTATACCTAGCAAACTGATGATAAATAAGTAGATATTGTACAGCCATGTTCATAGATGAAGGAACAATACTCAGTAATCAACTTCCTTTATAATCACGGTAGTATATTCATTTCTTGTCAGCTTCCCTCACACATCCTGTTGACAAACTTATGCAGTTTTTTTTCTTCTTCAGGGCATGAAATTATATAATATGGTATGCACCCTCACGCAATCTGAGATTAGGGCTATGTTCATAAAACTTCTAATCAATAACAAGTTTAAATAATGTTATATAAGCTGCTAAAATCATGGCATTTGATTGGCTGAGATAAAATTTGTCATAGAAATTTAGCATTTGTTATTGGCTAAAAGTTTATGAAACAGGGCCTAGCTCAGATAAATATCTTGATTCTTGAAGTGTCCAGTTGTTCAGACCAAGTTCTAGAGGAGCAGTCATTGACTTGTGCTGCCCCTGCACTTTGGATCACTATCCCATTTTATATGAAGGAAGAATCCACAAGTTGTATAGTTCATAACTCTTCTCACAGCATACTTGTTTCAACAACATTTTTAATGAGTTATAGTTGGGCATTTACAGCACCTTTTTTTTTTCTTTTATATCTTTCTTCCTAAGGACATTGAGACATTATAAGAGTGACATATGCTATAAAAGCACTGTAGTAATATCATTATTACTGACTAAAGAAGGGATGTGAGCAAGAGATGGCGCTATTTCACTAACACCTATGGGAGACTTCAGAATAATATTTCTGTTGTCTGTTTTCTTTTTAATAATGGGCAACACATGCTCCACCAACAACTTCTTTTAGATAAATTCCTGATGGTAGTGGAATTCTTTCCAAAACTGTGGACCTTGCATAATAAACTCTCACCGTTAATCCATCCTATAACCAAACTAAAATCCAAGTGGTACCCCTAAAAAAATAGATGTATGCTCGACTGCACACAATCGAAAATGATGCCTCCGCCATAGAGCGATTTTACAAACCAAAACAGGAGCAATTCAGTTCATAAGCTCTGCAAGATCCATACATGACCCAGTTTGGCGGTAGTTCATCAATCGGTTCTTGAGATAACGCGATCACGAGAACGGGGATTCCAGACGGACGGGCAACATAATGCCTCCGGCTACTTTGTAGTGGGGGCGTAACAAATTAATTCCCAACAGGACAGCTCATTGAATAGGTAGAAACCACATGTCATAAACAGCTGAAACTGCACATTGGCCCCCATCTTGCCAACCTTTCTTGAAGGTTGACTTCAACTTCACAAGCACAAAAATAATGGCAATGTAAATACACATAGAATGAAACAAAACTAAGTTTCATAATACAAATGCATTGCAAACCAGCACAGAACTTGCTGACCATTCTGAAAGGTTGGCTTCAAATTAAACAAGCGCAAACGAGGCGACAATAAGGTGCATGAAATAATAAAAAAAGGTGTTCCGCATAAATGTGAATCGCAAATTGGCACCAATCTTGCTCACCGTTCCGAAGGGTTGGTTTGTACTAATGAGATGCCGCCATAATGTATGAAAACAGCCAAGAAATACGTTTTCTACATGCTGTTCACAAAAGTGGCCACAGGAAAGTGCATAAAAATAAATTATACCCCCCAAAAAATGATAAGCTTCAGGTAAATGAATCACAAATTGGCACCGGTCTCGCTTACCGTTCTGGAGGGTTGGTTTGTTCTTGTGCGACGGAGCATAGAGCATGAGCACCGCCAGGACGTAGACGTTCCACATGCCGTAGACACCGGTGAAGAAAGCGCTGCTGTACTGGATGTTGTGCTTGTCCTCGCCCCACTTCCAGTTGCCCTCGTTGATTTGGGAGAAGATGAAGAAGATGGCCGTCATGACGGCGCAGATGAGGGTGAAGATCATGAAGAAGCGGAAGCGGTAGATCAGCCCCTGCCATGGGAGAATGAAACGTTTATCACAAGCTGTTACAGTCAAACCTGCTTTAGTGACCACCTGTCCACAATGACCACCTGTCTACAACAAGCACATATTTTGTTTCCCTTGAAAATGGTTTCTCATTGAAACATATCTACAAAGAACACCTGTCTACAAAGACCACTTTTTGTGTTTCCCTTCGGCGGTCGCTATTGACAGGTTTGACTGTATTATCTCTATAAAAAAGGAAATTACAATCTCCTGTTTCCCTCTTCCTTTCAATCTTCCACTTCTCCCCACCACCCTTGGTTTACTTTGTAATACTGGAAGGCAACATGCTGATGTTGTTGAAGACACCATACACCATACACAAATTATAATCCTGACCCCCTCCCTTCTTTTTTTCCCTGAAGCCTGCTATCCCTTCTTATTTCTCAAATCCCATGGACAGAATCATGCCATCCCAACCCCAACCCCTCCCAGTCTACCCCCCTGCCCTCCATCCCTACCATCCAATCTCCCTCTCTTTACCTCATAGTGCAGTCTCCTAGCAGCTACCATGTGTGGCAGGGCAGCTCTCTTCATGCTAAAAGACACCCCATACCATGATTATTATATCAGAACCCCAACCCCTTCTATAAATTTCGCCCCCCCCCCTGCCCACCCCATCCCTACCATCCAATCTTCCCATCTTTACCTCATAATGTAGTCTCCTAGCAGCCACCATGTGTGGAAGAGCAGCTCTCTTCATGCTGATGTTCTTGAAGACACCATATACCATGAAGATGAGGAAGATTGTGTAGAGAAAGGCACAGATACCAGCAAGAACCACAAAGATCATCTGATCAGATCAGTTAAGGTTGTTGTTTCTTGTTGTTATGTTTCTAAACTATTGTTATTCATACACATATTCATGATTATGTACATGTATGTAAATGCTGCACATGCACATTCGATATTAAGTTGGTGAATGGGACATTCAATTAATAATAATAATAATATTTAATTTTTATATAGCGCTTAATACAAATGTCTCTAACCACCACCACCACAGTCATGTTGCTGTTGCTGTTTGAGTTTCTTGTGTTGTGTGAGGTTAGAGGGATAATAAGTCAAACACGTAGAACCTTCTTGTTGTAATACGTGGTAGTAGTAGATTTTGTATCCCATTACTTTCACAAAATAATTTACACTGTATATATCTGGAGCTTTCCTAGGTTTCAATGTTTGGGAGATTGACCTCTGACAGGTTACTTGGCCTGTCGATATCACACATCTTGGTATTTATTGCTTTTTTTAATATATTCTCTAGTTTATTATTTTACATCATATGTCTAAAATTACATATTGGTTTGAATTTTATTAAAATGTGGAAATAGATTGAACTGAAGTATTAGGATTACAAGATGCTTTGATATAATAAAGGATACAGCTAGTCGTCTGCCAGTCTCTGTGTTCCAGAGAGAGTAGAAAGGATTGGTCAATTGGACACCCCTACAACAACAAAGAAAGAAAAAACACAGCAATAAACTTTTATGACGGAGGAAAAAAAGGAATAACTGTAAGGTGTTGAGATTAGATTATTTAGTAACTGTATGCATTGCTGCCCTCCCTGTAAATTGTTGACACATGAAGGTTCTGCAGTTAGAATTAGGAGCCCATACATGTGCACTTAGCACTTGTTAGTGTAGAGCCTTGGGGTCAGAAATAGCTAATTTGTACTACCTGAAACATAAAAAAAAAAAACATTTTGAAAAATGTTTTCCTAAAAGTATACTTAGGATTAAATGTGATAAAACCCAGAAATAATTAAATTTTCTTTAAATCTAATCTATTATGTTAACTTGGTGGCACGGAGTGGGGGGGGGGGGGGGACCTTGACAAACTATAAAGGCACACAGAATAAACACTGCTCTGTTACTCACCTCTCGACTACATCAAAGACGAAGAGGCACATGCATCCCAGGGTCATAGAACCAACCTGTCTCCAGTACACCCTCAATCTATTCCTCTCTTGCTGATCCTAATATTGTTGATAGGAATAGAAAAGAGAAGGCTCAGATATACACCCGTTTCTATATGTGACTTGCTACCTCATAATCTCCAATCAATCTGCAATCTATTCCTGCCTCTGTAAAAATGGGCATTTTGATTGTCATCTTATCGTATCCAAATATCATAATACAACATCATTCAGATGTCATTCAGCTTAGAAGCTTGTATTACTCACAATTCAAACTTGGCATTTTTTTATACTAGAAATAAAAATGAAAATCAGAGAGGAAGATGTAACATCTCTTATTCAAAAGCATTGAATGGATTGTTTCTCAAAATATCATCTACAATATTTGCTTAAAGGCAGGAATAATTGAATATACCGATTTATGGTTTAATTTAACCACTTCTATTCCGGTTAATACACATGTAATATTACAATGGCCCATTAGAATATTTCAATTGCCCCTTGGGAAAGTGACTTGACACACATCGTCCAAAAATGATTGGTATGCTTACCATCATGTGCTCTCCTACAAAGATGATCCAGAATGAGAAGAGCATGGCATAGCAGGCTCCTTGTCTGATGTCACTCAGCAGCAACATGTAGGGCATGTCATGGAAGAACGTTAGCCACTCTAGGGGTACTGCAAAATATAGCAACAAATTTATGATTACATGGGACAACATAGTAAATTGATCAGGAATACTAGAATTAGAATAGCATGGCATAACAGACTCTAAGCAATAATTAATGAAATCGACTGAATATACCCATACTTACAATTAAGAATACTGATGGTGATAGCTAAAGCCAGAATTGTTCTGAAAAAAAAAGAAATGAAAAGAAAAGCAAATCTATCATCTTATTTTTATAAAGGAATACAAAGAACTAGCAAACTACAAATTGAAAATCCTCAAAAGGTCTAAACAGCCTGGAGATACGGATGGGTCATTTTCTATTTTGGTACCTTTGAAAGAATGACTGAACAAGTCAAAGAAACTATGAGATGACTTTCAGTAGTATACTTACATGTAACATCGGTCAACAAGATAGGATAGACATTCGTCATTAGAGAATGAAACCGCCCATACTGGAGACCATACGTAAGTATGATATTTGTGAATTGCTGCGTATTCATTTTTTTTTATTTTAATTGCTCTGTGTGCCATGTTGGTATTTTTAATTTTAATTTCAAGATGATCTATTTATTTATTGAAATTTTCTTGAGCTTATGCTGAAGGATTCTACTTACAAAGCGATGCGATCGATCCCAATCAATAGTAAGTCCTAAAATCAATCGTAAGTTTGCATTCTTCTATCTCTTATCTACATAGTTGCGATTGATATTAATCGAAGTTGCAATTATATCAACTCTTTGTAAGACGGGGCCCTGGTGAAACCTTGACAATCATGAAAAACAGTCCACAGCTACAGCAAGCAATACTCCTACTTACCTCTCAAGAAGAACAGGTGGTCTGGCCAGCTGAACGATCCTCTTCCAGAACCAGATCATTGCTAGGATTACTAGTGGGAACAGAGCTGTCTTCAACGTTAACCATACAAGTGTGAACCCACCATTCTGATGAATTTCCTGTATGTAAATATAATGATAGCAAGCAATTGACTCCATGTTTTCATTTTATAATCAGATTATGGCTAAGGTAATTGTAAATGGGAGTACAGCTGTTTTCAAAGTTGGCCATGTGATCCTCTTCCAGGACCAGATCATATTTAGGATCACCAGTGGAAACAGAGCTGTCTTCAATGTTAACCATACAAGTGTGAACCCACCATTCTGATGAATTTCCTGTATGTGAATATAATGATAGCAAGAAAAATATTTCATATTTACACTTTAGAACCAGGGCCCTGTCTTATAAAGAGTTGCGATTGATCTGAATCAATCACAAGTCCTCCAATCAATCGCAAGTTTACAGTCTCCTTTCTCTTCTGTAAATAATTGCGATTGATATAGTTGTGATTAATCACAACTGCAGAAAACACTCTACAATGAGGGGAGTAGACATCTATGCATGTTTAAAAACCCACTGTATTTTTTGTAAAGGAGTGATGAGAAACCCCTGGGTAGTTGAACACTTGCACACTCCAAATAAATAAATATACTTGCATTTGCACATATCAGAAAACCTTCGTTCCTGACACCATCAGACTGTGGAACGTTCTCCCTGCAAGTGCAATCGCCTGTACCTCAGTAGCCAGCTTAAAGACCGAGGTGCAGAAAACACAGTTGCGCTAGGATTGCGCCTGTTTTGTTTAACCCCACATAGATTAGATCTTCCACACAACTGTACATATATATCTGCAAAACCCCAAAGTACGAAGATACACCTACAACATTGTGACCTGTACTTCAACAGAAGAAGAAGAAGAGTCACATTGATAAGTTCTCTTTTCCCCACCCGGGCAGGAGAGAGGGGGAAAAAAGAAGAGGGAACTCTAAACATATTTGGTCGTACTAACTAACCACCAACTATATGGAAGCTATGCTCGATCTAAAAAGTGACAGAATGGCAAAGAGTTCCTGGAAATTTTCAAGGTTGGTGGTGAGCTCTATAGTGAAGTGGCAACCTCGAAAGCAATGGTCAATTTACTTTCAGTCCATTTGTATATTCCCAAGAATGATCAGGTAGGGAAATAAATTCAGCATTATTGGGAATAGACAAGTGAACCAAATCTGGAGGGAACTACTAAATGCAGTTCTAGCTTTAAAATAATAATAATACTCAGTTTTTATATAGCGCTTATTGATAAAGTTGAGTTCTGGTCATGCAATAGGCCAGTTTCGGCGGTTACGTAATGCGCGGTTACTGTAACCAGGCCCGACAAGCTTTGTCAAATCGCCATTTTGAATCTGTGCATTGTGTATTAGACTGTCGGTTCTTGCCGTTAAATTGCATTCATATCTTTCTATCAAAACTGCGTGTATACATATGAATTTCTGTTTTGGCCGGAAATGTCTTCCAACTTGCCATTCATCAAGCTGAGTTTCAGGCAGCTGCAATATTTTCTAAGAAAAAGAGGAGTTTCGACTACGGTATACACCCGAGAAAAGACTCGTTAAATTAGCGTCCGCAGTAGCGGACTAGCCTGCCCGTAGCCCCTGACCTACGGGGTCCGTGTCACTCGGTAGACGTGACTGTATGGGGAAATTACAACGGGCAGGATTTTCGTTGAGTGAACTAGTTACATACCTCCCTTAAGTTTGACGATATTCCTGACTTTGGGACCTATGACGTATTCAATTATCTAGTAGAGAATATGGCGGACCATGCATTTATGATCGTCGAAAACTGAAGGCTTTTAAGAGTTTTGAAGACTTTCGATTGATATTTCCCGATGGCCATAGATTATGTGGCCTGGAGAAGCTCGAGTACAATCCTCCCTCTAGTTAGCTCTCGGCAGCTTATGATAGCGACTTGTGACTAGATTATACAGGTCAAACCGACGCAAAAAGACAGAACATCCCAACTTGAACAAAAAGGAAAAAAATATAAATAATAAACAAATAAAAAGTAGAAGTCTACAGATCTAATAGAAAATGTAATAACAGTTTTATTTTTAAATGTTTTTTTTAAATGATAATAATTGCTTCTTGAAGTTGAATAACGAAGGTCCTGCATAATTGTAGTATAATACTAGACTATTAGCTTTTATTTTATGAAAATCAAACTTAATTCCTAATCTTATTCTAAACAATAAAATTATTCATCATCCTGATTCTTCTTCATTGCCATCATAAGTTTTTTTTTTATTACTTCTATTATTCCCTTTTTCCATTGCTCTATCATTCTTTTTCCTTGTTCATTGTTTTTCTTCATTTTTTCGTTCAAAATTATTTGTTTATCATTGTTCATCATTCTTATTTTAGCTCTTTGTCATCGGACGATATTATTTTATAAATATTATTTTATTAACAAAGACCTTATATATTATATTATTACCTTAATTGTCATTATTTCTCGTTGCCTTTGTTAATAATATTGATTCTGCGGTCAGTGCTTGCTTCTCGTTAGCCGTTTCTCGTCCGCCTTGAAATAGTCGGTATCGAGGCGTTTCACAAACATTTTTTAATCCGTAAAATTGTTTTCATTTTGAAAATGTGAATCGCGCCTACACGAACATGAACACGTGGTACGCGCGCACGCTTCTGCAATTAGCAGAGGTGACTGTGTGTGCGAACGAGTGGAAAATAGTTCATCACTTCTTTCATTTCTACGTCCTAATTTGTTCTCAGATTCAAGCTAAGGTAAATGCAAAATGGAATGGAAATTACCGATATCGGCTAGCTAACTTATATTTTGGTGCTTCGCTTTCTATTTCATCACTGGCTTTCAAGCCAATATCGCTTGTATCATCGACCTCGTTTTTCTTCTTTTTGAGGGGGTATCGTGCGCTGCCTGTACCGGGGACTTGGCCGAACAGGTTTAGCTGCAAGATGTGAATCGCTAGTTCTGTACCAGCAATGCTTTTCTATTATTCTTGCCTAAGACTCAGCGATTTTAAAGATCAAATGTATGAAGAACAAAATCACATCTCAAAGATATTTATTATTCAAGTTTGAAACTGCCTCATTTTTCTTCTCTCTCTCTCTCAAAATAGCGAAAACAAACGATACAATCACACCTAGCGAACACAGTCATGTATATGCACGCAAAGTGTAGTCTGCTACGCACCGCGAGTTCTTTGCTTGTCCGACCCTCCGATTACGTAATGCGATTTAAAGGTCTCTGAATACATTACGAAACTGGCCTATTGCATTGTGAAAGAAACGGTGTGGAAGTGATCAGGAAAGGTTGATCATCTAGCATATAAGTACTGGTGTGTACTGCAGGGTTCTGGAATCATCAAAATGATAAGAAATGTGGCCCAGTCTGGGTAAAGTTACAAGCACTGTACACAGAAAGATGTATATGGGGCTACACAAACATGTGGCATAAAAATCCATCCCAATTTTTATGTTGTTACATGCCATATTTAGAAGATGAAAGCATTTGAAGAGCCATGCTTTTCAGGAAACATTTTTTATCTGATGTTCTCCCACACTTGCATATTAACTATGATAATGCTCACAAATTATTTTTCATCTCTTCCCAGAACTCAATCTTCTCTTTAATATTGTTACATGTACATGTATCTATGAAAACAACTGAATGACTTACAACGACAGACAGCTCCTGGACAGCCCCAAGATTAGTGTTTAGCTCCCTGACAACCTCCTGTGTATCAGGGTCTACCTCCCACACAGGTAACCTGATGTTGAGGAGGTAGTACTTGTGATGCACCGTACCAAGCTCAAAGAGAGGGATGGGCTCACAGTCGTAGCTGTAGCCCTCCGCTTCAGGACTCTAAGGGAAAGAAGAAGGAAAAATGTTCAAAATTACTTTTTTTTAAGGAATAATACATTCTACATACATATTCCGATGGTACTTTTTTTAAAAGTGTTTCGCAATGGCAATCATTGAAGTGACTCGGTAACATTGTTGAAGGTTGATGAAAAAACTGCGTCATTTTTGTATGAAATGTTACTTATTATATTCCTTCTACTGTACTCACCCTCTAACATGCAAGAATACCCCGAAAAACTCTCAAACCTCAAACCCATACTTACGGTTTTCTTTGAAGGCTTCGCCGTGCGACACCCTCTAACAGTGAATTCTCCCAACCATTTTTGAATTTTCCCTACCGTTTTTCCATGACTGGATCTTTCTTTTGGCTCTCATCAGCCAATATCATTATACATACTTAAAGGTAAAGACCAGTATTGGAAACGCCCCAATTTCAAAAAATGAAATGGAAGCTCTCATTACCAATCATGTGAAAGAATATGTTTTGACTAATACATGATGATAACAAATTTGCCGGGAAACCGCCTACTAATTCATATATTTGGTAAATTTGTTTCTCTCATGGTCTGTGAGAGATATAGGGTAGTCCCATATACATGTACATCTTTCTGTGTATAGTGCTTGTAACTTTACAAAGAATGGGTCAAATTTCTTATCATTTTGATGATTCCAAAACCTTGCAGATGCTAGATGCTAGATGATCAACCTTTTCTGATCGATTCCACAACATTTCTTTCACAATGCAATCGCATGACCATAACTGGTCTTTACCTTTAAGAATGGTTTATAATAAATTGATTTATTTGACAGTAGAAGTTACCTTCTGATGAAAGAATTCGCAGTTGAGTTTCCTCGTCTCGTTGATACTGTACATCTTCTTCCATTCTCCTTGAGCGTTGTCATCGTTGTTGTACATCATCTCCACAAGAATCGTCAGCTCAGGCTCATCACCTGCAAAACACATCAACAAGAACAATAAGACCTGAATAGAAAGACCTTTGTCATTGTTTATGTTATTGTACATCGTCTTTGCAAGCAGTGTTAGTTCAGAGTCATCACCTGCAAAACACATCAACAAGAACAATAAGACCTGAATAGAAAGACCTTTGTCATTGTTTATGTTATTGTACATCGTCTTTGCAAGCCGTGTTTAATAGTTCAGAGTCATCACCTGCAAAACACATCAACGAGAACAATAAGACCTGAATAGAAAGACCTTTGTCATTGTTTATGTTATTGTACATCGTCTTTGCAACCAGTGTTAGTTCAGAGTCATCACCTGCAAAACACATCTATAAGAACAATAAGACATGTATCGAAAGACCTTTGTCATTCTTACTGTACAGGGTGTGAACTGTGAATGTTTGCTCTGGGTCACAGCTGTAGAAAGGTCAAATGAATAACAATGAAACCTGCATAGAAAGACCACTGTCATTGTTAATTTTAGTGCACATCGTCTTTGCAAGCAGTATTAGACAAGAGTCATCACCAGCAAACACATCAAAAGAAACAAACAGATAATCCTTAACAATTAGAAAATTGTCTTCCTTATTAAAATTACAAGATTCTAGGACAACTATCCCCGGACTATCGTCCCTGACAGCACCCCTTTCAAAATGTACACAGTGTCAGATGACAAAATGCACATGTCTTGGAAGTCAGGTAGTATCCTGTAAAATTCCTGTTGGGTCAGTGTAGCAACATTTTGACCTATCCTTTCTACAGTACATCTAGTCCCCTGTTTATTACTTAATCATAACTTACCGATCTCATTGTCTCTCTTATAAACAATATGTTACGAAAACACACCCAACATGTACTGGAAAATAATGCGTCCTGTTCAGATGGGTCAGCATCCTTCCCACTGGCAATGTACAGTCACAGAAACTGTACACTGGTATGGTGTCCTGTTGAGTACATGTACCATAAATCATAACTCACCCTTCTCATTATCCTCCTTATAAACAATATCCAGAGACAATACACCCAACATGTACTGGAAGCTGCGGTCAATACTGTTCAGACAGTATGCAACTCCCCTTACATGTACCAATACCCTCTCCACCCCTCCCTACCCCTCTCCCTCCACAGTCACAATGTGGATGGTCTCATTTTGATTAACTAATCATAACTCACCCATCTCATTATCCTCCTTATATACAATATCCAGAGACAATACACCCAACATGTACTGGAAGCTGCGGTCCATCCTGTTCGGACGGTGGGGCATCATGATGGAGAAGACGATCCAGTCCGCCTCAATGTTCTTCTCTGTAGCTTCTGCGAAGGTGGACACCTTAGAACAGGCGTTGGGTCCATGGGGTACAAAGGCCTTCTGAAGACTGATGGCAGGGTCAATGCACTTTGTAGCGAGATGGGTGTGGGCTGAAGTGGGCGAGGGCGCTGCAGAAAATAAATTAAACAAAAACAAAATAGGAGAATAAATACATGAAAGGACTTGGTGGTGGTGGTGGTGGTGGTGGTGGGGGTGGTGGTTATTTTACCAGACTGCTAAGAAAGCATACATGTTGTAAATGCTTGTTAGTATATAGCAACCAGACGGCCGACAGCTTTAGGTCCTCTCCGAGGGACCTGGTAATGAGAATTAATGCCTTTAATACCAAAAGGCACTAGCGCATCGACTTGGTTTTTAACCCGGTCACCGGATTACAAGACCACTGCTCTACCGACTGAGCTATCGCGCCTCCTTTGGCACAAAACTTTATTTTCATTGGTGAGGCAGATCTGTGTTTCGCACTCCACACCTTTGTGCAGGTAGTAAAAGGTACCTGATAGAGGAGACGTCATCAAACACTACTTGATGTCAGTGAAATTAGGATTTTATCTACACTGTACATTGCCCAGGGGTAGCACGGGAGGCACTGGCCCTTTTTTTGGGGGGGGGGGGGGGGGGGGGGGGGGGGGGGGACAAAAATCAAATAGTCTGTGGTTGTCTGGAGAATGGAGAATTGCTTTTATGTGTGCCCCTTTATATCTACAGAGTCGTGGATATGCCTGGCCCCCTGAGCACTGGTACATGTATTATACAACTTAGAAAATATAAATATGAGACAGGCAACAACAAAAATGGAAAAGAAAAGTAAAGTAAGAAAAAAACTGTAGTTAATTCCAATATCTGATGAGTGAATATTTCCCCATCTCGGTGAACCAACACAAGAACCCAATTCCTAGCTTGACTTTGAGCTTTAAGCCTAGACTGTACTACACAATACAATGAAACTGTAAGGAAGTGCTCTCAGAACCTCTATTGTATTTGTAGATGACTCAGAACTATAAAACTGCCTTCAGCTCCCACCATAACCTCATTTTATGTTCTCTTCTTTTATGGGCCAACAGTGCATAAACAGCCTGTTAGAAAATAAGAAGAGATTTCTACCTTTTAATATACATTGTGCATGCCCCATGGGCTTGAACCTATATGTACACACTCACATTCTCTGTGTCGATCTTCGACAGTAAAAAAAAAAGTAGAATATAAAATAATAATGAAATCAGTATAAAAGATCTACAACAGGCAACAAGCAAGCATGAAGTATTGTTATTGTCAAACGCCTGTCATTTCTACAGAACACACATCACACTCTCCTACAGTACACTGGCACAGGCACTGACACATCATCCAAGTTCAAGGAAATGAACCAATTTAAAATGATTTTATCATTAAGGGGGAATATGCTGCCTGATTTTGTACGCTTGGGTTAACAAAATAAATAAAGACATTTCTCAAACAACTGCCCCCATCCGCTGCCAAATTTCATTTCATCAGTTCTCCATAATGTTACTGAGGCTGTACAGTACAGTGCACGAGCTTCATAAGCTGATGTAATGTACTTGTATGTGTATCACTAACAGTATCACTCCAGTATCTGTCAATTATGATGAGAGAGCTCATAATGAAGAACTCCCCATTATGGCACACTGCCAGACACCCTAGCAGTCTTCTGGTTTATACAGTACCGGTAGTTGTTACAATGTAGCGCTCTGATGTAGTCTACGCTGATCTACAGCAGTGTAAAACTGTCATTTTGCTTCTGCGTAATGAGAATAGGGTTTTGAGCCTTTAGGGGAAGATTTTTAAAACCAATGGTTGGTGCAGTATAACATCGTGTTAACATTTAGCATGGGATTGGAAGGAGGATTCCCTATGTTTTAATTTAAAGGTAAAGACCAGTATTGGAAATGCCCCAATTTCAAAAAATGAAATGGAAGCTCTCATTACCAATCATGTGAAAGAATATGTTTTGACTAATACATGATGATAAAAAATTTGCCGGGAAACCGCCTACTAATTCATATATTTGGTAAATTTGTTTCTCTCATGGTCTGTGAGAGATATAGGGTAGTCCCATATACATCTTTCTGTGTATAGTGCTTGTAACTTTACGAAGAATGGGCCAAATTTCTTATCATTTTGATGATTCCAGAACCTTGCAGATGCTAGATGCTAGATGATCAACCTTTCCTGATCGATTCCACAACATTTCTTTCACAATGCAATCGCATGACCATAACTGGTCTTTACCTTTAAGTCTCTATTTGCTTTTGATGAGAACCCTAGACGGCATCATTGTTTGAGAACATTGTAGGTCTAGATTGTAAAAAAAATTGAGGGCATATCATGTACAAATGTATGCGTTTGATTTGGCACACAATAAACTCATCCTAGTCAACAGTTGATCCAACATTTGCTCCAGCCTTCATTTTGTCAAAAAGAAAGGATTAGAGTTTGGCTGCAAGTTCAAAATTAGTGTTGGGTTAATATTTGAAATTGCACTTGAGTTAATGGATGAGTTACAGTATTGGACTCAAAACACATCTTTTGGAGAAGCGGGCTCCTTTGAATGTTTGAAACAGATAAATGGCGCCATACAAGTGCTGCGAGTCATCATAAGTGCTGAGTAATAGTTGCTAGACCCATGCTTTGTTATAAATACAATCCTACTCTGAAATAAACTGTGTCTGAATCGGACAGACTACATGTATCTTCCATCGTCTTCGGCACATCAAAGGGCCAGAGTGTATTACTTGTGGCATGTTCTCAGAAATAAAACTTCCCCTCCTGGAGTGTCAACCCTGTCGCTTGCCGGCTTGGTTTAATGGAGGACTTACTACGGTCCACGGTTTAATGGAGGCTATCATGCTGTACTTGAATCATTTTAACCCTTTCAATGCCATGGGTTAAAAAAATGCCACCACAAAAGGCACAAAGTATTGATGTTCTCATCCTCTTATTTTGTTAAATAACAGCTACATGTACTTCATTTGTTCTGACATAAAAACAGACACCCTTAGGCCTACATGTATATTGTGTAGGTTATTCCCGTGTTAGACTTAGAAGATATTTGAAAACAATTCTGACAATGAAACATTTAGTATTATCACCATACCAACATTTTATTCTTAAAGGTAATACAAAGTTTTGGTATGGGCTCATGACTTTGGTTCAACTGAACATATTGGACGCATATGCAATCCTACAATATTCAGTGATCGTTGTCGCGGTTAAAATCAAGTCTAAAGTGATGAAATTGTAAATAATAAATTCTTTATATTGTATAGTACTGTAGCTCCCTTTCAAGGTCAAGATATTAATTTAGCTTTTAAAAACATGTTGACTGAAATCGACCGAATTGCTATCCCTGATTGGAAAATATATATCACAACGACATAAATACCAGTACCTGAAATATTCAATATTTCTATCCATTGCAATTTTGTTTTCATCTTCGTCCCCCATAGAGACATACCAACAAATGTGAGTTGACAATAACAAACATAATAAAGGCATCGTTTAACAATGTTGAATCTGAGATGCATGGCCCTACGCGTTATCAGTGTCTGTGATATGGTGTAGGCCTAATATTGAAGCCCTAAAAAAATTGCACTTCAAAATGATCATGAAGTGCCTCAAAAAAGTAAAAAACTTTAAAGGACCGGTTTTTACCATGAATGTACACATTTTCCCCAATAGACTGTAGTGGTATAAAACCGTTAGGAAACGAAATTTTTATTTCCAAGCATACATCGTTTGTATTACATGTACATGTATATATCTACATGTACATGTACATGTAGACGATCGGCTTGTGAAAGTCATGGGATTCCTGACTGACCTAAAGGTTTATAATTATGATTGCAGCATGAGCTAAATCCAGGATTTTGTTTTAGAATCTGAGGCAATGTTACCGAGTCACTTTAAGCTCTGCAGCAGGCTAAGGTTGTACATGGCTGTCACCAGGGAGCTAGGTGAGACCTCCCTACTGTCACTAAGGTTATCTTCAGTACATGTCTAATGTACAGTTTGTATACATGTACATACATTGTAGCAAATAAATTTTAGGTTGCACTTGGAAGTTCAGCCCTACTTTTCACACACAATAGAAAAGTGAATCTCAGTTCAGGGGTTCTAAAACATGTAGACCGGTCTGCCTCTAGGCAATCTGAGCTATTTCGTTCTTTGTGGAGGTAATAACCATTTTCTGCAGTTGTGTGGTGTTAAGTGTTTTGACCTTGTAATTCATTTCCTTTGCGGTTCAAAAGCATTTATCAACCTGTGTGAGTGTGCTGCCCAATACAATTTACAGTGTCATTTGCGTATCATGATGCTGCAGCATCAACTACATGTACATGTACATGTACATGTACACTTGTTAATATTGTACATACCGGGTAACAAATAATTCATTCAATCAAACAGCTACAAGTGTAGGGGGCCCATGTCCCTTGTGAAGGATGTTTGCAAGCCCACTTCATATCAATTAACTTACACTATACGCGTACACTGTACAACAGATTTATTTACAAATTGTGCATTGTTAATTCAACCCAAAACAAAACAGTTATAATTTTCTGTAAATTTTTGCTGTTAATAACATATCAATCTACATGTACCTGTACAACTGTACTATGCTGTATGAAAGTATGATCTTTTCTTAATAATTATCACCATATACATGTAGATCTACACTGTACAGTATATGTGTACGTCCATGCTACTACAACAACCACTGTTACCACTACCATTACTGGTACTACTACTACTACTGCTATTACTACTACTACTACTAAAACTACAGTGTACTACTACTATTACTACTTACAATTGTACCACTACTACTACTTTTACTTCTACTAATAATAATAATGATAATAATGATAATAATAATAATAATGATAATTATAATAATTTGTATTTCTTGAAAGGGCAGTTGAATAATTTCTACTAATATATTATCAATGTTATCACTATTATTATTATCATCATCATCATCATCATTTAATAGTATAGAGATATCGACTGCTACGAGAGGACTGGCGGTTTTGATATGCTCAAGGGAAATTTGCCTCCGTTGCTATCACCCCATTTTCTGTTATTATTATTATTATTATTATTATTACTGGTATTATTATTATTATTATTATTATGTTATTATTATTATTAGCTATTAATATCATTTTTACTGTTATTATTATTATTAGTCTACTATTATTATTGTTATCATTATTACTGTTATTATTATTATTATCATTAAGACATTATCCTCATCATTATTCATATTTATTACTTAAGTAATATAGTATGCCCTAGATTTATATTTCATGAAACAAATCAGTTAGTACCAGTACTAGATCTATAGATGTAGTAATGTCTGATATAAGTGAGTTTTGATGATTTTCATCTTTACACAATCATATTCACCTTCTTTTTTTTTTTAATGAAATGAAATTATAGGCCATATAGGGTCTAGATCTATCATAAATTATAATGTTCATATAACACGACCCTGGATCTGATCTGGACAGTACACACAGTTCATTAACCTCCTCCCTACACTCACATGTAGGCCTACAACGATTGTTTCTCACAAAAGTTTTTTTTTATTTCTAAACAATAGTATTTCAGGTGTGCAATGGAATGTTTCGAGGTGAACAAAGAGCCCGTAAAATGGATTGAAATTTGGGAACAATGACTCATGCTTCACTTCGCCAACCACACACATGCACAAACACACACAAGCAATGACCATTGCAGGAATGGGTGAAATGCCTACATGCACGCAGAGGCATCCAGGCCGAAACGTCGGCATAGACTTACCGATAAGACCACCCACAAGAAAACAGGCGATTTGTATCAGCAGAAGGAGAACAACAATTCCCATTAGCTTCTTCGTGCTAAGGTTTTCAATCACAACACCAGCCATAGTTAAACTTCAGCCTATATCCGACACTTTGATCACAATTATTTGAACTGTCAGGATTTAGAAATTATGAGAATATATTCCAGAAATTGAACTAAGGATGATTACTTTCAAAGCAGACTGCTCGATTGTGATCTGAGGATGCATCAATTTTGTTTGAAAGCCCTCTACGAAAATGTAAGGCTAACCACCAGCATGCATTATATCCGTCGTCGATCATTATTTTGAAAAAAAATGTTATTTCAATTTAAATATATAGGCAATATTCGTTTAGATATAAATCAAATTGTGTCTTTGTCTTTGCTTTCTTACAATATTCTTTTTTATTAAATCGTCATGATTTCTGGCACTCACTCTCTAAAGCTACTGTTGGTATATTTTAATTCTTTTATTTTCAGTTGCCAGTAATATACATTTCGTGCTTATTTACTTACATAATTAAAGTTTTACAAGCATAAATACTCACATATTATTATTCTCTACATTTTTAATGTATGATCGACACTTATTTTTTTTTTTAAAGTATTTCTTTTAATTTATCAATATTATATTTAATTAAAATTTGAACTAACTTTGAACAATTATGATTTGTATGTCTCACATTCTACAAATTTTTAAAACACACCGTGCTTTTGTGTAGCCTCTATTCTATTTTCTTTGTCTTTATTAATGTTTGTATGAATTTCCCATTTGATGATTTTAATTCAATCGAATGAAATTAATTGTATTTCACACGTTGAAACGTGACATTGTCCCTTCAAATTTATAAAGAGCGCCCCTTTAGTTGCGTTTCTTTCAATGATACTAATAATCTTACTGAAACACTATCAAAGGTATAACGGCCTATTTGCAGCCAACATCAAATTATGTAGAACTTTGCATAAATTATCAATATGTCATGTATGTCCTTATACTCTGCGCTGAGTGTTCTAGTATTAAAATTATGCAAGGAAACCCGTTTACTTTCTAAACTTCACTGGCAGACCTTATTGAGTGACTGATTGATAGACTTTTTTTCTCAATTGGTATTGAAATACATAAAAATGAGCTGTAAATGGTACATGGGCATCATTTTGTTTACATCAATGTAATGGCCAAATTTAAATTTAAATTTAATGATTTTTTTTCGCAGCACAAAACGTGCGTTCATTTGGTACAAGGGTCTGAAAATCAGACTATCTAATGAAAGGACTGCAATCCCTAAAGTCGATTCAACAACTAACGGTCGGCATTTTCCACTAAAAAAAAGAACAGTTTTAAGGCCTTTCGTTTTGAGGGAAGTTCTAAATTATTATAATCTTTCAAATGCCGTTGAAATTTAACCTTTTTATTTTTTTGGCCTGCAAATGGGACATATAGTCTAGTACCTCAAGTTAATTAAATGCGGGATATATAAAGTGACACAAAGACTGAAACACACACACTCACTGCTGGTAACATTTACATTTCATAATCAAGAAGAGCAAAGGAAATCGCATATGAAATGTAGTTTTTGAAGCTTCTACCAACCTTTTTTGTGGGCAAGCTTTCGTCCACTCCTGTGGACTTTCTCTGGCTAAGTGATCAGTCGCACGTTTTCCTAGCGCTGCCTGCATGGTGTCTTGCGATCACTGCCCTGGACCAAAGATAGGTGACAATAGGTATCCATAGTCCCTGTTTATAGTGTGGCTTAATCCTCTTAACCAAAATTGTATATATTGCAGTTATAATCTAATTGCATTTAGACCCCTATACTTCAAATGTTACACTCACATTACCATGGTGCTGCGCAGTCACATTATGCAGAGGTCTACCTGAGCTTAATCGGAGCTCAAGGGTGTCGATTTGTATCCGTGGTTGGGGGGATGATAGGTGCCAAAATATTTTCGGCAATGGATCAAAGCAACCAAGAGGTAGAAGCGTGTGGCAGGTTGCACCCCCTCCCCAAGCGCGTAGCCAGGATTTCATTTTAGGGGGGGAGGGGGGGGGGGTGGTAGTAAGCACGTGAATCACTTACTGAGCGCGCTCCCTAGGAGGTTGGGTGCAGGGAGAGGGCAGTTTTCCCCCTCCCCCGCGAAGCGCGGAAGCTCTGACGATTCATTAGATTATTAAAGAAAAAGAAGACGATTCGATATTCGATTTACCATTCTCGACTCTTAATCCTTGTTTGAATCAAGTTCCCCCTCCGCGCGTAGCGCGGAAGCTCTGACGTTTCTTTAGATTATTAAAGAAAGAAGACGATTCGGTGAACCATACTCGACTCGTAATCCTCGTCTAAATTCAGTTCTGACCCCTTCTGCGCAAAGCGCGAAAGCTTTCACGTTTCATTTAATTAATAGAGAAAAAAGACGATTCGTTGTTTCGTGTCCTTGTCTGAATTCAGTTCCCCCCCGCGGAAGCTTTGCATTTCAATAAATTATTACTCTTAATCCTTGTTTGTATTCATTTTCGCCTATCCCGCCCAAAGCGCGGAAGCTTTACCGTTTCATTAAATTATTAGAGAAGGAAGACGATCCGTTGTATCGTGTCCTTGTCTGAATTCAGTTTTCCCCCTCGCGCGCGAAGCGCGGAAGCTTTGACGTTTCATTTAATTATTACTCTTAATCCACGTCTGCAATCATTAATTTTTTGCCCATCCCGCGCGTAGCGCGGAAGCTTTCACGTTTCCTTAAATTATTAGAAAAAGTAGACGATTTGTTGTATCGTGGAAGTTTCATTTAATTATAACTCTTAATCCTATAGTCTGAATTCAGTTGCCCCCTCCCGCGCAAAGCGCGGAAGCTTTGCCGTTTCACTAAATTATTAGAGAAAGAAGACGATTCGTTGTACTGTTCTCTATATATGTATTATGAAAATGAGATAGCAAAATGTGTATATTGATGGTCATCTTGCGAGTAATAACCATTAACTACTCTCATCGGGCTCTCATCATTAATTTTTCTCTTCATTTTTTTTTTTTTGATGGTGAATTATTGGGGGGGGGATGATTGTACAGGCCATCCCCCCACCTGAAATAATAGGGGGGATATATCCCCCCATCCCCCCGGGATCGACACCCATGTCGGAGCTAAAACATAATAGCCGATTATCACAAAGTACCCATATTCCTGTCACAAGCTGTCGATACATGGTAATTGCCCTGAAAAGGGGACTAAAATTTACACTATGGATATTTTCATATGAGCTGTTATCATTCCAATTCCATTAATTTTGTGTAAGTAATCTACTTATACTGTGATTTACCTCTATGCCTTCTTATTTTACTTCCATATTAAAACAAAATATATATCTCGATCTAAGTTTGTACTCTCCAAACATAAGTCGCCCTCCAGATGACAGGCAAGTGGATGGATAAAGTCGTGGTTTCGTTTTCCCGCATGTAATAACTGTAGGTTGAGAATACCAGGGGGGGGGGGGGGGGGGTTTCTAAATGTGAAGACCCTTAAAATTTCATTATCCCATGCAGAGAGAGAGAGAGAGAGAGAGGGGGAGGGGGGGGGGGGGGGGCTTTGGCGCAATGGTTCCCTATACCTGGATCGGCCTATAGTTTCAACGTCTCTTTGTAATTACAGTCAAACCTGCTTAATTTAGTGACCACCTGTCTACAAGGACCACATTTTTATGTTTCCCTTGAAAATGGTTTCTCATTGAAACATGTACTAAAGGAACCTGTCTAGAAAGACTACCTGTCTACAAAGGCCACTTTTGTGTTTCCCTTGGGCGGTCGCTATAGATAGGTTTGACTGTACTATATTTCTTACAACTGTCAATTTGAATTTTCAAAAGGTGGTCTGACGCGGGTTTCAGTTCTGAAAAATCCCATTTTCGTTTTCATTGAAATTTCCCTTATGTATATAACTTACTTATAAGTAAGTGATTCTATTGCTACACTCATACATATCAAAATCTCATTGCGAAATATTGATTTTCAAAATTGTTGAGAATGTTAGCCCGTATGTTCAGACTATCAGTAACTCCAAAGTAGATTAAAACATAATTTAAATTCTCTCCCCAATAAAAAAAAAAGTTGATTTGTAGACACACACACATTTATATATATTTATACATTTTATATCTGGAACAACTAGACACACATCCACCTCATCTACATGTATGTCATAATGTTATAATAAACTGTATTTTTACCCGCTGACTAAAATCTGCCATCACAAGCATTGCTTTTAAGCTTTCTCGATATTTATCTATTTTTTTTTTTTTTTTTTTTACTTAATACACTTTTTGTCAATTAGAATATCGATCGTATTCTTCTATGAATGTTTAAGACGTGAAGTGATATATTTCAATTGATGAATGTTATTACTCAACTAAAACAGCAAATTCAAATCAAATCTGCACATGCATTGTTCAAAATCACGCATTTTTGAAAATTTCCACACAAAAAATGTATATTTTCATAAAAATATTAATACAAAATATTAAAAAAAAACTTAATTGAAAAAAAAACCATTACCATCTTACTCGTACTTCAATCTATCACCATGCTAATTTTCACATTAAAGGTAAATTACCAAATTCATGACCCCATACCAAAACTACAAAGTTTTGGTATGGGGTCATGAATTTGGTTCAAATGAACATATTGGAAGCATATGCGATCCTACAATATTCAGTGATCGTTGTTGTGGTTGAAATCGAGTCTAAAGTTATGAAATTGTAAATAATTAACTCTTTATGATGAATAGCTCCCTCTCAAGGTCAAGATATTAATTAAGCTACAAACTAGGCGTTGTGGCGTGCGCCTGTAATCCAGCTAAAAAGTGGAAGTTACAAACTGATTCAGCCGAGGACGCAGGTTCGAAACTGAGTCACGTCTTTCGGATAGTGACGTTTAAAGGTCGGTCCTAGACGTAAATAATCATATCTGATTGATACACGTCTGTAAAAACCCAATACACACACACACACACACACACAAATAAAAAACAATGTTTCTTGACTAAGATCGACCGATTAGCTCTTCCCGTTTGGAAATTATATGTCTCAACTAAATATTCTGAGATTTTCATGGTCGCAGCTACCATTGTACGGCTGTAGGCGCTATTTGAAATCTATCAAAATTTACCGGGAGCACCGGTAAATTTTTATATTCAATTTTTTCTCGAAAGCAGAAGGGTTTTAGAGTCTAATATTTCTTGTGCTTATAA